GGGGGGGGGGGGGGGGGGCAAGGAGCAAACACGGAAGCCCCCATCCCGCCCCGGGTTTTGCAAGTGAGGCTCTCGGCCGAGTTAAAACCCCAAGCCCGAAACGGGTTGGACTAATTCCCCACTCTCCACCCTGGGGCATGCGCTCCCCGCCCGGAAGGGCTGACCTTGGCCAGTAGAAATGGGGTGGGGGAAGGAGGGGGAAAGCGCCGGCCTCGGCTCCCTGCCCGCCACCCCCTCGGATTCCTGGCCCGGTGGGGGCGGGGGAGGGGGCCCCGGACACACACACACACCCACACCCCACACGCAGCGCGCGCCAATGAGCCCAGGCCAGGCGCAGGGGGCGGGGTTTTCCCAGGCTCGAGCACAGCAGCTGCTATTTACCTTCTTGGCTTCTCCCAGGGACCAGGAACCAGCCCCCGCTCTCCACCGCCCGCTGCCGCCCCCCGCCTCCCTGCCCCCGGGGCGCGCGCGCACACACTCACACACGCACGCACACACACATCCTCCCGGCTGGGCCGCAGCCGCGGCGGCAATAAAACATCCTGGCACGTGCTCCGGCTCCAGGCGCGCCCTCGCCGGCCGGCTGATGTCAAACTCCAGCTCGGCCGGTGAAGCTCTTAAAGCGCCCGCGCGCGCCGGCGCCGAGGCTCCCTAGGCCTCCCGCAGGGCCGGGAGGGGAGAGACTGCCTCCCTGCCCGCCACTTCTACGTGCCGCAGAACCAAGAGCCTGTGGGTGGAGCGGGTGGCGAAGGAGCGCGCGCGTCCCTGAGGCTTTGCCATCAAAGCCCCACTTGTTCATTTTTCATTTGAAATTCCATTTCCTTTCTACCCAGTTGGAAGTTATTCTGATTGTTTCCTGGGGAAGCGCAGGGCCCAAAGCCCCAACTCCAGAAGAGGAATGAGGGACGGGGTGGCTGCGGGGTGGGGTAGGGGAAGACCGCTCCAAAAAACCTGCAGATATGAGGTTGAAGGCATTTTTTTCTATTTCTGCATGCAAAAAGGAAGGGGGGGGGGTCTTTCTTCTGCATGGTCTGCTCTCAGACCTCTGAATATATATAGTCTGAACGGAAAACCACTTAGATTTTAGGTAACTCATACCCTTGCACGCATTCCCCCTTTTTCTGTTAACCACTGCTAAAATTCTTTTTTCTTGTCCTTCTATACCTTTAAAAAATATATTTCAAATGAACTTATTACAGTCAAAGCAATTCTATTACACATAGGAAAGGGAATCAAGGGCAAAGACCCCGGCCTCAAAAGAAATAGACTAGACCGAAACTAAAGTGGAAAAATTCTCTCTAAAGCACAGCTCAGAGGGGAGAGCAGCAATGGGTTAAAATCCTTTTGATTGACGTTGTAGCCTCCGGTGCCCCGGGCTCAGGCGCGCGCCATTGGCCGCCAGACCTTGTGCCTGGCGGCCAATGGGGGGCGCGGTCCACGAGCGGTGCCGCGTGTCTCCTCCTCCCATTGGCTGAAAGTTACTGTGGGAAAGAAAGTTTGGGAAGTTTCACACGAGCCGTTCGCGTGCAGTCCCAGATATATATAGAGGCCGCCAGAGTCTGGGGATCACACAGGCTCCGGAGCTGGTGCTGATAACAGCGGAATCCCCCGTCTACCTCTCTCCTTGGTCCTGGAATAGCGCTACCGATCACCAAGTATCCATAAAATATTGCAATAAAGCCTCAGCATTTGCTCAGTAGTTTTGTGAAAGTCTCAAGTAAAAGGGACATAAACAAAAAAAATTTTTGCGTGAAGAATTACAAAAATAAAATTCTCTAGGGACTAAAAAAAAAAAAAGAAAGAAAGAAAATGCCAGCTGATATAATGGAGAAAAATTCCTCGTCCCCGGTGGCTGCTACCCCAGCCAGTGTCAACACGACACCGGATAAACCAAAGACAGCATCTGAGCACAGAAAGGTAAGGGCAGTACATGTATCTCCCTGCAGGCCCAAGAAATTAAGTCGGGGTTGGGGGGCTTCTTTCTCTCTTAAAACTCCGGGGTGAAATAGCAGATCCCATGGGAACTTGGGGCTCTTTTTAATTTCTTTGCAGTCATCAAAGCCTATCATGGAGAAGAGACGAAGAGCAAGAATAAATGAAAGTCTGAGCCAGCTGAAAACCCTAATTTTGGATGCTCTTAAGAAAGATGTAAGTGGGGAATGCGGCTTTTTTTTTTAATTTAAAAAAATTAAATGGTATTTCCCAGTCACTAATAATGAAACCCGCTCGCCTGCGGGATCTCACTCCCGCCAGCACTGCATTCTCCTAGGTGGGTGAGCCTGGCCCCTCTCGCCGGGGTCCCGGGTTATCGGCGCCGCGGCCAAGGGGAAAGGACCCCCAGCACTCCGAGGCAGCTGACAGGGGTCTCACTTTCCTCCCTTGCCTCCTTATGTGCAGAGCTCGCGGCATTCCAAGCTGGAGAAGGCGGACATTCTGGAAATGACAGTGAAGCACCTCCGGAACCTGCAGCGGGCGCAGATGACTGGTGAGGGCGGCTCGCCGCGTCCCCCTCTGCGGGCGTCCCTCTCGCGCCGCGGTGATTTCTTCCAGACTTCCGCCCTTGGTTGAGAGGCATTCAGCTACATTTTACTGCCTTGGCTCTCTAGCGTTCCCACGGTCTGGGGCTTATTTATACTTTTTCTGTTAAC